GCAAGTCTCTGCTAGATCGGTCGTGGCTTATATGGACTGGCTCATATGGAGGGTGGTAAGTCCCCTTTTGATCTATTTTATGTATGTTTTTTTATTTTAGCTATTACATACTCTAAGTAAGTAAGAGCTTTTTCTAATTAATTTTTTTTCTTTCATTTCTTTCAGGTGGACATGAACATGTCAGAGACTGTAAGTAGCTTCTTCTTTCTTTTCTTTTATTTTGTTTCGGTTTAGATCAAAAATTTTTCCGAGGTCAATGAAACAGATAACAGTGGGGTAAGTTATCTCATTCTTTTTAATTATATGATGTTCATCAAATTTTTTTCCCTTTCTTTTAGCCATCGATATATTCGTATCATCTCCATCATCAACAACACTATCATCATCGTCCAACATAGAGAGAAAGTAAGTAATTATTTTTTTTTTCTTTTGAGATGAGAATAGGGTAACTCTAAACAAAGTGAGCGTTAGTTGGGGAGGGCGTGAGTTATGTCCATGGAGATGAGGCTTCGCGTTATCTGAAGGACTTCCGAGTAGTCCTTAAAAGCTCGGTCAGGAACTGTCTTGGTGTACGTGGCACACTACCGGGTCTGCACCAGACTCTTTGATACATCTCTGATGTGAATGATGAGAGTCTGTCCCGTGCGTGCATGAGCTTCACGCTCACCACGGCTCCACCAGGATGGTTCCTGGTCGCGCGCGCGTGCAAACAGCATAGTTATGAATTCTTTTTTATTTAATCTGGATTTATTTGAAAGAGAAATAGAATCAAAAAAAGAAAAGTAATCATCGTACTGAGTTTATTCGATATTAAATTTTTGTACTCGACGATTGTTGTACTCGGCGACATAGAGATTGCCATGTCGATCGAATGATAAACCCATGGGATAACTGAGTTGATTCGACTGTGCTCCTTGGCCATTTCCACCAACAACGACACTTCCCTGTGTGGCTCCTTTTGACCAATGCATGACTCGATGATTCGCATAATCAGCTACATAGACAGTGTCCAATTGATCGACAACGACTCCCATAGGATTGTATAATTGTGTAAGACTATTTCCAGCTCCTTGACTACCGGCTACGACAATGCCTTGTTTTGCACCTTCTTCCCACTTCATTACACGATGATTGTTAAAGTCGGACACGTACACTGAATGATCTCGATCGACAAATACGTATCGGGGATCGGAGAGTTGATCAAGACGATTTCCTTGTCCATTGCCACCTGCAACCACCATTCCTTCAGTGTCACCAATTCGATATCGTCTCACTTCATGTTTTCCATAGTCAACGACATAGAGAGATCCATTCTCATCCATTGTCAAACCGACGCAACCAATATTTGAAATGATAGTTTCTCCACTGGTACCATTTCGACGAGGCCATCGAACTACTCTTTTATTATTGTAATCGGAGATAATGAGACTATCTCTCTCTTTGTCGATAATCACATCGTATGGGCAGTTTAATTGATGAGCTCCATTTCCACCGGCAACCACTTGGCCAGTCGTTGCACCACATTTCCATTCCACAATACGGTGATTTGACATATCAGCGACATAAATAGTTTGATCATCATCGACATATAAACCACATGGACCATGGAGTTGATTGATTCTACTGCCTGGTCCATTTCCTCCAGCGACAGTGAGACCATTCTGTATCCATTTTGTATTTGGACGGATATCAGTCAAACTTGCACGTAGTGGCGCTGGAATGAAACAAAAGTGTGAAGTAGGAATAAGTATAGATTTCATTGAAATGAGTCACTCTTTTGTTTTAAACAGTACTGAACTGTTCTCAATTATAAAAACAATTAGTATTTTTAGATTTTGAAAACTTTCACTATTAGCTCGAATGACGATCTGATTTTCTAGTTCAGAAATACCCAGATCAAAGATGTACGACAGAATCCAGTGATTTGCCTGAGCGCTCTGAAAGTTGAATTCCTAAATCCGATTCGGCTACCTATTCTAGCTCAGTTCCTGCCTCCGGTAACTATCTTCGAATACGTTTCCTGGCAACGGTTCTGATGCTTTTTTGGAAGCGACAGGATATAGACGCTGTATCCAAGAGTTTCTGTTGTGGTTACGTAGCCCGAAGGCGAGCATTTTCAATCTAGCCTTCTAGATCGGATCCGGAAACTGGATGCGCCTCGGATCTTGTTGTTTCAATTCAGATTAAGCAATCAGATAGTAACTCATGCAAAAAAAAACCGACAAAATCTGATTTTGATCGATTTTTTTCTGATTAAAAATTGTTTGCAAGCGAAAGTTTCGCGACCAAACTTCGATGAAGGCGATCAAATATCAGACGTCCTCATAATTTTCCATGTGCTTCCAGTCATAGTCACAGCTGTTCAACATATCTGTAAAGGTAAGTCACAGATACAGATTTAACACGCATAAGAAACAGATCCCTAAAGATCATTTCCCTTCACAATAGGATTTCAGTCTCAAAAATTCGTCATCCGTGATCAGTTCACAGACATAGCGTACTATTCATTAACAGACGGTCTAGACCCTGTGTATATGCACGCACGACACGTTAGAGTTCACTCGAGTTGCAACGCACATATCAATAAAATGCCTTAAAAATCGATAGCAGGCAAAATCGTTCTCAACCAAACTTTGACAAACGCAATCAAATATCAGACATCCTCACAGTTGTTTACCTGTTTTCAGTGAGAAATCTAATACTTACAAAAAGAGATCTTTAAAGATCTTCTTTCTTAAAATTGAGATTATAGTCTCAAAAATCCTTCAAAATCAGTCATTGCTTGACTGAAAGATCTTAGAAAGCGATTTTCTATTGCTCTAGTAATCTAAGTCTTAAAAATACCTTAAAATTAAGGTAGTTAAGAAAGATGATCTTGAAAGTGCTTTAATGATCTTTTTTGCTTAAAATCGAGATTGGTATCTCAAAAAACTTCTAAAGGCAAGATTTGCGCCCCTGAAAAATCTTAGAAAGTAATTTTCTATCGTTTGTAGT